GGGAAATCTATTGTTCTCTCGTAGAAAACCAATCGCTGAACAAGAAAAAAAACGATATTTCAATTACAAATTTTCAATCTATTCAGAAGACGTGTGTCTTCACGTAGATAGTTCGGGCGATACATGAAAAATACATGACACCTTCCGAAGAAAAAGTTTCGTCCAGCCTAGTGACAAACGAGGAGTCTAACACGATTCCAAAGTTTCCATTGAGCAGCAAAAATTGACATCGCTACTAGATAAATTTCCATCGATTCCTCAATGAATCAATGTTTCCCTTCCAGAAGGACCCAAGTGGAAGAGCGAAAGCGTCTGATATGGGAAGCAGAACGAGAGAGAAGAGAGGCAATACTCCGTAAAAATCAGGAACGAGAGGCGCGCATAGAAGCGAAGAAGAAGAACGAGAGATCGCATATTGTGTTTGCATTTGGTAGTTCAACTCCACGTATGTTGGAGCCAGCGGATACCGGTGGCTCGTCGTTCTGGGGCACCCGACGGGCAACATCGACGACCAATGTCATGATGTTTCCAGCGGCGCAACCCCTCACCAGGCGATCCTCCGAGCGGGAGCTGGATGGCGGCAGCAAGAAACGCGCCACCTCGGCTGGTGGGCTTGATCGCAAACCCGGTGAAGGTAGGTACCACTCTTATCATTACATTTTCTTTTTTTGTTTTTTTTTTTATTTTGTGCCAGAGGTCGCAGCCTGCTGGGCCGAATTCGCGGCGAGTTGATAAGGTCGGATTTATCAATCTAATTTGTTAATTCAATTGGTAATTATTATTGTTATCGATATATAATGTGAGGTTCAAGGCTGTTGGAGAGACATTTTCAGACTTCAAGACAGGTATGATTATCTATCAATGGTAGAGCTTGGAGTTTTGCTAGTTATTTGTATTTCATTCTATTATCGAATATCATTGACATTGGAAAACAGAGTGATTATTATTGTAGGAGTTTTTCTTCAAAAGAAGGTCTTGATGAGAAACTCATCTGTTCGGGAATTGAGTCAACGTATCTTCGCTGAGAGAAAAAATGATCTAATACAAACTTTTTTTTGTTTTATAAATACTGTAATATAATATCAAATTAAAACCCCAATTATATTAAAAATACTTTAGACCCACTAATGGGTCATACATTTATATAAATCCATTACAATTTGCAAGTTTTTTTATGCTTATTTTGAAGATGTGAATAAAAACTTTGGTAAAGAAAGAAAAAAAATGAATCGAGTCTGGCTTGGGGCAATTGGGATTTTTAATCTTTCGGAAACTGTCGAACGGGGGTCTAGACACCGAGAATCATCGGTGAAGTATACGGAAAACATTGTCCGATGAAGCTTGGTCGATGGGTGGACGACCGCGTCGACTAAGATTTTCCATGGTTTCCCGTGATCACCAGGAGAGTCTGAGACAGTTGGAGAGGAAGTCGGCCCATGAAATCGCAAATATGTAAAAGGGAAAAAAATAGTTTTGTTATGTATTAGGTAGTTTTTTCTGTCAGTGCTGTTTTCTTTTCACTACTGAAACATTGATTTCGACATTATCTATGAACTGTCATAAATTCGGCTCAGTGTTCTCGACCCCCACAATCACCCTCCGCATCGAGATAAAATCCTAGAATTTGGAATTCTAGACGTACAATCGCATGACAAACAAACAACAACATCTTGTGCCTCAAAATCTGATTGTCCCCCTGTGTTTCCATCATCGTTTATATTTTTTCCAGTTAACAGTGACTTTAATACACCTTGTTCGTTTTTAATGAGATACGACTCACTCTTCAGGTATTCACGCCTTGAAGTTGACGCACACTGGTTTAGGCGGCTTCCTTAGTTGCGCATTGATGCACATTTCACACGTTTTCACATCATGTATCAGTCTGTCTCATGACACATTTAAAAATTATTAACGAAAATAAGATGAAGAGGTGGTCAAGAGGATTCAGAGCAACACGAACACAAAGAGTATCATTCTTTCGTTGGTTAAATTTGTTCGCAGATATGAGAATGTCCTCGTCAATGTATGAGGTATTCAATTGGAATTCTAGTCCCGATCCTTCTTTAACCCATGCAAAAAATAAAAGAGCCAGCCTATCGCTGCCTCCCACAACTGACATCTTTGCCATCGATGATAAATCGGATTGTGATACTAGGCGTGCTACCGTACAACGCCCGGCCACCGGTGAGTGCCCGATTAAACGAAATCGCGGAATTCTGCATCCGGGGGATCAGGAGAGAATTACCACGCACTGAGAGAAAAGATAATTTTTCTCAAACAAGCCTTGTCTCAAGCAAAAAAATCGCTAGTTGGACATTACAAAAAAGTAAAATCTAGTGAGATGGACATTTTTGTCACAAAAATAGATTTAGGGGTTCTAAGGACTGCTTCTTCGTTATTCGATACTCCCATACATCTATTTCGCTCCCGAAAATGTTCATTTTAGACGAAACCAGGGACAGGGTTTTTCGTTTCGGCTATTCAATAATTACAGACAAGAAATGAATCCTTAAGGATATCCAATTATCTTTTACATTAAATTGTGTGAGGAAAATTCGAAAAAAAAAAAATCATGAATATTCAGCGTCATTCAATTTTTACATTTTGCATAGAATTATGATTTTTTTTAAACTTTCAAAAACGTTATGTTTTTTGGTATGAAATTGATTGATTGTCTATGAATTATTTCTAGAAAATTCTCCAACTTTTGAAAAATTGCAATTTTTCAATTATTTTGTCAATTTTCCTCCAAATGTAAACTTTTTAATTTTCTTTTTAGATTTTTAAAATGTTTTCTTACGGTTCAATATCGAGATTGAAAATCAAACTTGCAATGTTTAAATAATAAAATCATTGTAAAATGTCCGGAAACTTATAAAAGTAGAAAAGTATTTCATTTGCAAGAAAATAGCAAAAGTACTTGGATATCCTTAAATGAAAGTTGTTGTTGAAAGCAGAGTAATTCTTCCTTTTTGAGAGCTTGAAATTCGAATCAAACAACACTTTTTTGGTCATTTTCAACTAGCAATTTTTTTTTCCAAGCAAAATGTGTTTGAGACTTTATTCGTTTCTCTCTCAATGTACTCTAAGGATCTACAAGTTATTTCAGTTGTGAAGTGGATAATTGGTGGAGAATAATTCGATATCTGAGAGAGATCCAGTTCTGTCTTTCAAAATTTCGGGGTTGCGTATTATGAAACTTTTCACTAATTGAAATTGTTTATTTTACTAATTAGATTTCAACAATTGTTGTTCATGAATTCCAATTTTTAAATTATTTCACCAATCTTCCTCCATAATTAAACTTAAACTTTCTAATTTTCTTTTCAGACCTCCAAAGTTTGAATATAAAATCATTGTAAAATGTTGGCTCAAATGAAAGCTCTGATGTTCGACTACAAAAGTAGAAAAGCATTTCATTGGAAAAATACTAGCCAAAGTACTTGGATATCTTTAATTAACTAATTCAACTATTAAAAATTCCGCAATTTGGAATTCTAAAGGTGTAAAAGGTACTTGAATATATCATTAAATTTTGTCATTAAATTATACCTCAAAAATTAAATCTGAAAAGTGAATGAAGCAGTTTCACTCACCAATAATTTTTTTTCACAAATAATGTTAAAATCCAAAGGAAATGGTGAAATTATTGAAAAAATGTCGTCAAAAAAATTTTTAAATCTCTCTCAAATTCCAAAATATTCATCACCAATTTGAAGTGGCTTGACCACTTCACAACTGTCCTTACATCAACATTCTTCCAACGATCGTTTTTGTTCTTGTCTTAATTTCATCACAAGCAGGCCGGAATGACTTGTCGAATGGCTGTATAAAATTCTCATTATCATTTTTTCACACTCATTACGTATGCTGTATACTGCATTACACAACATGGCATGTATCATCGCTACTGCTAGCTGTTTATTCCCCCAGTGTACACGAAGAAAAGACACAAATCATAGCATTTTTTTTCCATTCCCTCACGTTCAACGTTTATTTCTGTTGGTTGGTACTGCAAACGAGTTTGCCTGCTTGAGCATGCCAAAGAAGTTTTCTCCTGTTGTCTTCCAAATACCGAAAACTTGCACACAATCGCCACATGGCTTTGTCGTGAAGACAATGAGAACATTACATCGAACTTTGCCACAACAGTGTTTGTACCTGTCTAATCCTCATACCCTTGAAGACAACTGTGTGAACGAATCTACGTCTTGATCATTATAATAATAACAGATTTAACAGTTTCCTTTTGTCGCTGAAGAGCCTTGTGTTTGTCTTTGTCAATCGTAGAGGATAAATGGTTGAACGAGATGTCCATTTCATTCAGAGTTCGGTAGAAAATTCTCTTGGATTTCTATTAGTTTTTGGCCGATTCTATTGTCCTCAGCTCGCAAATATTTTTCTTTGATTGAGAAAACGTGAAAAATTTAATCTGAGAAAATTCTATAGAAAACATTTCAATAGAATATGTTGCGTAGAAAAATTGAATTCTATTGACTTTTTCTATAAAATATTTTCTGTTGAGCATTTCAATGGAATCTTTAAATTTTCATCTAATAGACGATGTCCGACATACTACCTACCGTTTCCATGGAAATCGTTGACTATCGTGATGATTGCTTAATTGATATTTTAGTGTTATTTTTTTTTCAAGTGTCCTAAAATTTAATATCGCAATACTCCCAGAGGAACGACACGTTTGGTTCGAATAAAAGTTCCAGTAGAGCTCCCTCTCCTTCAACCATTCATCTCAAACATTTATTGAAACCGATTTACGGAAATTTTGCAACGTTTTTCTAGGCAAACTCATGCAATCGTAACTCCATTGGCTGTAGATGTTGTAGATGTTGTCTGTATTGAAAGATAAAAATTTTCAGGTGATGATAATGATGGAACACCGGGTACCCCAAGCTCAGTATATCTCCGTGTTAATCGACGAAGAACCGATCTGATGCCGACGATACCATCGCCACGCGATGGACCCTTATCATCGCGTAGCCCAAGCGCTAAGGCATTCACACGTTCACCAGGTAGGACTTACTCAATGTCGAGACTGGATCAGCTTTCACAGCCACGGAAGCCACGCATTAACGAACTGAGCACTCTTAATGAGCAACAGCAGCCCCATCATAATGGGGGACAGAATTTGGGCGCAAGCAGCATGAGTCGAAGCATGTCGCACTTGGCTGCGCCCGGTTCAAAAACCCTCAAAAGAACCGATAATTCGCGTAGCATGGGCACACTACCGGGTGCTGTACCATTACTTAGGCCAACTAGGGCTGAGAAATTGAGGAGAAAGGCGAGAGAACAGCAGAATCAGCAGTATCAGCAGTATCAAGGTAAGGGCACGGTTTTGTGGGCTCAACTCTTCGTTTCGTTTTAATATCTTGAAGGCTTTGCATTTTTTATATGGAGATGACTCTTTCAGTGCATTCACGTACATCCAGAAAGAAAAGGTTTTTTCACTTTTCAAAGTTGTTAATTTGAATCCTTTCCTTTTGAAAGTCTCAAATGGAAATTTGTTTTTTTGGGTGCATGAAAAAATCGTATAATGATGTTCTATGGGACATTCTTACACGGTGAATCCCATAATCCCCTTAATCAATGACTACGATCTATTAACTATATGTGTGCTATTATTCAGATGATTTTCATACACAATTTTTATAATATATGGAAATACTTATATGATTCCTGTAAACATTGAGACGCGGGTAAATTTTCCAAGTCTCAATGCTCATAGGAATTTCTATACACAAAATGCTGACTGGAATTATCCAAATAGCATATTCGAGACACGTATAGAATTCCCTATAGAATCCCGATCACGATTTATTCATACATGTTTGACACTAGAAGACGTCAGTTTGTTAGTGTAAATTGCTTTTCATTTATTATTATGCAGTTGATTTTTAATTGCTCATTGTGTATATTTGAGTTATGCTGAGGAGTTGGGTACGCAAGTACTTGAGCATGAGTTTTATTAGAACGCGAGTGAGCTGATATTGATCAATGATTAGTAGGCAATTTAGTGGGAAAATACTGCACTGACTGGGTACTGAGGATTTTTTTACTCATTTTTTGATGAATATCGTTAGATCTAGTTTTTTAAAATACATTTTTGTAATTTTTTATTCTGATGTACGACAAAGGATTTGAGACAGGCAGGCTATATTGTTTGAATAAATAATCGAAAATGTTGATAATACTTCGACTAAATCAAATGAATTCCACAAGAATTTTATATATTGTAACTTGTGTCAAGTCGATTGAACATCAAATTTCCTTAGAATTTTCTCTTTTTAATTATGAAAATTGGACATTGCATCAAATTAAATTTTCAACTGTTCAGGAATTCAGGATTCGATGCCTGAAATTCCATAATTTTCAGTATTTTGAATTTTCTTGTAGATCTGAAAATGGCCATTTTATAGAATATTTTATAAATTAACTAATTATTCAATAAAAACATTCCTATAAATCTCACATAGATCAATAGGTATGAAAAATATCAATTTTTTACTTGAAATTGTAATAATAATTTGCTGAACGCGTCGGAAATTTTAATCTCTACCAAAAAAAAACGTAAACATTTGTCAAAAATTTAGCAATTTGACTTAGAACCCGACGTATTCCTCGAAAAATCATCAAATCTGAAGACCAAATCTCGAATATTCATCCTTTGCAGCTTCTAAACTAACAATTTTGAAATATTCACCTCAATTTATCTCCCCCGTCAACTCACACTGCAACTAACACCAACGAATTTAATTTCTTCTCCCTGACACTGAATTACCTCTTGAATCATTGATTAACAAAGCTCACATCGTTGTCAATATCTACCTACCATCCACGATGAGGCTTTCCGACGATACGAGGTGGAGGGGATCACGGTAAATAACTCCAAACTACTCGGTAAGGTGACCACAACTAGTTAATAAAAATCCCCAAAGAAATTATATAAACTTGTATTTTAATGTGCAATTCCCCAAACTTCAATTTTTTTTAATTCTCTTTCTTTATAAAACCTCTACAAGTTATATAATTTCCAATTAGCTCTTTTAATTTTGCGGATTAATTCTCGACAACCAACACAACCATACAGCACCGACAATTGGTGGTGGGTTTTATTTTTCCAAAGAGTAATGAGTACAAAAACTTTCACGCAAAAGCGAAATTTAGAGAGTTAGAAACCAAGTTGAATGATCTGTTGTTAAATGGCGTATGTAACGCTAAGGATGAAATGCCATTAAAAAAGCATAAATTACCTCGAAAAAAAATTTAAAAAAAAAATAAGAAAAAAAACATGCCTCTTTACCGTGGAATTCCATTCAACTGGATGCATAGGTGTACGTAGTGGTGAGGTGACGCCGAACAGTCCATCAAGACCCCACAGCTCCATGAGTCAACAGAGTGGCAGCAGTGTGGCCAGCAGTAACGTCAATCTGCGTCCGCGAACATCAACACCGCGACGTCCGCGACCAGCTTCTATTGCCGGAACTGGTGTTACAGTCACAGAGAGAAACAGTGAGCATGGAAAACTTTTAATCATTGCCATTGCATCCGGCATTGCGATCGCGTGAGGTTCATAATTCAAAAATTCGAAAATTTTTGTATTGAAAAAGCCAACGTTTTGAGACATTTGGAGAGGACGTCTGCTCAGGGCTAACTTATTGCTGTCAAATTACATTAAATCTCCAATTACAAATTACAGTTTGTAAAATGGTAAAAAAAAAAATCAATAGAAAAAATCAGTTTTTAGCTGATTTTCTATTTAAACAATCTTTAAATTATCAGGTTTTCTGGGCATTTTGTCCATAAAAAATCGTCAAAAGAAAGTATTTTATCAAAATAATTAATAGAATTTGATATTTCCATAAGACTTTTGAAAACTTTTAAAAAATAATAAAGTCGATTAAATAATGAAGAATTTGTTTCCACAGAACAGAACAGCACAGCACAGAACAGATCAGATCAGATCAGATCACCGAAACTCTATTGTTGATATTATTTACCATCAATGCTTTTTATCACAACTACTCTTTATTTTTACTTATAATCAAGCTTTACTATATTTTTATTGTATATTATTCATTCATTTGAACTTTTTCATTTTGCCGTATGAGTTTATTTCAGCTATTGCACATGTAAATACAAATTGAATAGAGTGGTCATATCTTGACTTGAATCGGAATGACTAATGGAGTGATGTCACACGTACAAGATGATTAAAGTTCATTAAAAAATCATTCAATTTCGATTGGACTTGTCTAAATAGACAATATTTTATGGAAACAAAAATCCGTATTATATTTGGTGTAAAAATTCCGGTACTTAAATTTTCCGAGTTTTTCTATTTCTATAAAAAATATCGCAACATGAGAAGTTTTGAAAAAAACACAAAAGCACTTGCTTGTGAAGATTTTTTATTGGAAAAACGCTCAGAAAAAACAAAAAGAATCATGGAAAAACTAATAGAATGGATTCTAATGGATTCACTGCATTTTTTTGTTGACTTTCTTCATGTATCGAATAAAATTCAGTGAGATAGTTAAACGATAAAAATCCACTCAATGAAAATATCTTTAGTAATTTTCTACTGCAAGCATTTGTTACTGAAATTCTCAAATAATGAACAGAATTTTGTAATTTTGTGCTCCATTCTCATCTCGTATTCAATCTAAGAAGAAAAAAAAACTGATAATTTCGACATGATCATGATCAATGGTTTAACGTATTCATGAATTGAAACTATAGACTTGGGCGAAGCAAAGGCTGCAACGAAAGACTCAAAGCCCCCTCTGCCAAAGGTTCACACAACTCCAAAGAAACCCTCAACACCAAGAACAAGCACGGAGACCCCCAGGAAGCCAAGTGACAGATTGATAAAGAGTGCAAAAGCCTCGCCTCGTGTCACCCCTAAAGCTACACCACTCCAGAGTCCTGGGACCGAGCAACCGCCCCTAATACGTCAGAACACAACCGAGATAATAAAGAACGATAGTAAACAAGTGGGAGAAATTAAAGTGGAAGAGAAACACGAGGAGAAGAGGGATCAGGGGAGTGAGAAATGTCAGGATATCGTTGAGACAAATAATCCCATTGTCGAGGAGAGTGATTCGTCGGTGGAGGCAATTACAGTGGCTGCTCAGTCCACCACTACTCAGGAAGTGGTCCCCTCGGTTCCACCCAAGGAGGAAATTGGGGAGAAAAAATCATCCCCAGAGCCCGAGGTCAAGACCGAGGGCGATGTCGAGGAGATTGTTGATATGTCTGCTTCAATGATTGCTAAAATCAGAATTACTACTGAGGAGGAGGCCAAGGCGGCATTGGCGGAACGCAGGAGGCTTGCACGTGAACAGGCGGAGAGGGAGGCGGAAATCGAACGACAACGCTTGGTATGTTTACGCCACTAGTTTGTGTTGATTCCCTTTCATTATGGCCTTTTTCCTGTCAGATTAGTTATTCCTTTGCTCAATTAATTGTTTATAATCATGCTCATTGCAAAAAACAATACGATCAATTTAAATTTTCATTTTTAGAGAAGCACGAAAAAATTCTACAGCATAACCTTGCGGATTCGATGGAAAATTCTAATGAATTCTGCAGCTTTACGTGGCGGTTTTTAAAATGAGGATGTAATTTAAATATATAATTAACAATAATAAAACTAGAACAAACATGTAATTGAAGTTAATGATTCAACTTCTCTTCAAAATTCAATTTTCCCATATCTCATAATTCACAGGAGATGGAAAAAAATAAATAAATCGCGACCTCTTATTCAACTTTAATCTTGCAATTTAAAAAAATGCCTGAAAATTCTTCTACTTCTCTCAGTTTCAAAGATATTGAGAAAAAAGTGGAAGCTCTCTGGTGCAACACCTCCTTGTACAATCAATTTTTCTTCTTCTCAGGAGGAAGAGGAACGCCTCGAAATGGAGAGACAACGCGCCGAGGAAGAGGAGCAACGTCGCTTGGAGGAGGAAACCCTCCGTTTGGCGAGTGAGGCTCGCGAGGCAGAGGAGCAGAGGCTGCAACTGGCAATCGAGGATGCTAAACGTCGTGAGGAGGAGGACAGAAAACGACGCGAGGAGGAGGCCCGACAAAAACTCGAGAAAGAGGAGGCTGAGCGCAAAGCCAGAGAGGAAGCTGAGAAGTATGCACTCACCAATCATGTTCAATTTAATCTGTTTATTCTAGTGATTTTAATGGTTCTTTTATTCCTGCCTCTTTCCAGACAACGGTTGGAAATGGTTGAGCGACTGAAAAAGGAGGAGGAGGAGCGCATTGCTAGACGTAAACGAGTTGAGGCTATTATGAAACGCACTCGAGGTGGAAATAATCAGGCTAATACGACAACAAAGGTGAATTCATTATGTGTTTTATTAAATTCCCTTTGAATTAATTTGCATTAATAGGGCGTATTTCTGTAATTTTTTATATTGTTTTTGTTTAATGGATAATTTATTGCCATTATTGAAACATTATCATCAAAGTTTTTCAATTTCAACGAAGGAGAAATTGCAAAATTACTGAAATATCCTTGATATTCAAAATTGATAAAATTAATTGATGAATTATCCCTCTCCTTAAAAGTATTCACTGCAGTATATTAGCCATTAATTATTCAACTATTTATGCCCTCGATATTATAAAACATTTATTTGTTCTCAAATATAAAAATTTCATATGTTTATTTTTCTTTTCAATCTACAAGTAAATTTTTCACGTTTTTATTGCTTCATTTATTACTCATTCCAAGTTGCTGAAAAAATAAAAAATCAAAATTATTTCAGGGTGATAACGGTGATGGTGATAAATCAAAAGACGACAGTCCCAGTGACGAGTGCAAACCAATGCCAGGAATCAAAAGCGAGGATGTTATGACGGCGAGTCTAATCTCCGAAGCTACTCAACAATTAATAAACGCTGAGCAGCAGGATAATCATCCCGGAAATAACAGTCCCACAGACGTTGTGCGTAACGGCACAACGCACAGCAATGGCATAAACGATATTAACAAAGCACTGCTTGAGAATAATCAGAGTAATGTTGAGGGTGAATTGAATGGACATCACACGAATCATGGAAATGGCATCAACACTCAAATCACACTGGACAATGCAACTGTGTAAGTATGAGCAATTAAGAAAAAATGAAAACCAAAAATGCAAAATCAAGAATACTGTTTTTATTTGAAACTCACGGAGGCGATATACATATATGGACGCATGATTTTTTTCGACATGATCATGATAACAGAAATGATAAATATCGCATTTATCATCTGCCCTACTATTCAGTTCTGCCAATTTAGCTGAAATATCTTCATTAAAATTTTAATTGGTCAAAAATTAATTAATTATCCAAAAAAATATTGTTTTTATTTTTAAACTCGTGGGGAGAATGGACGCATGATTTTTTTAAACATGATCATGATAAAAAGATGAAGAATATCATATTCACCATCAGCACTACTAGACAGTACTGCCAACTTAACTGAAATATCTTCATTAAAATTGCAACGAGTCGAATATTAATAAATTCATCTATGCGTACGATTAATTACGAAATTACCGATTCAATTTCTGATTAATTATCCAAGCGCACTGGGAATCAAAATCGAATAATTCACAATTAAAGTTGATTTAAAATGGAGGTGCTTGAGAAAATAGAAAATTTCAATAATTGATATACTAAAAGAGCTGTTTGTATTCGTCGGCTTGATTGACACATAACGATGTACGCTATTTATTTATTGAATTATTAATAACGATAAAAAAAAAACAGATACTGCCTGATAACAATGTTGCTCAGTGACATTTTCGCTGTTCTGTACTGTACATTGCAAAAGTAGTCAGAGTAAATAATTTATTTAAGGCCCGGGTGGATTATCTTTCGTAAGGTCCGTAATGTTGGTTGTTTTTTTTATTTTGATAATCTGAAATGATCTCCGATTGCTATTCAGTTTTACATAGCCCTGGAGTCATTTTTAAATAATATTGGCAAATAAACCCAATAGGGATGAAATTTCAGATTATTAATAATTTGTTGTAACTAATGGCTGTCAGATCAGATTTTCTCTCTGTCGGACTTATTTCTTAATGTTTATTGAAAAAGCTCTTTGAAAATGTTGAGTTGTTTTTTCTACTTTTTCGAGATAGCAATCGAAAGATAATCTCCCCGAAACTCCTTAACGAAAGATAATATCATCATCTCTATAATCACAAGTCTGCGAATTGACTGCTGTGTGCATTAACTGATGGATAATAATTGTTGAATCACGTTTATGTCATTGTGTATTATACTAAAATATTTGATTATACATATATTTTGTAACTGATATTAAACAGCGATTTGAGTGTTAGCACTGTTGCTAGGTATCATAGGTGGAAGTTGCTTATAACCATCTGTAAACTATTGATGCTAACACTTATTAATTATGCGCGTCTATTTATCCTTGTTAAATAATATCAAGATTTATGTCGTAATAAAGAGCGATGTGAAGGGGAGTTACTGGATAAATGATACTTATGGTATTTGAACATGAAGAATTCTTAATTAATGATCGTTCGAAAAGGTTTTAGTCTTATATTTTTTATTAATGTACATAATGTAAAGTCAGTTGAATAGTATAAATGGTAATTAATTATCATGGAGATTGTACATAATTTCATTGAGGGTTTAGCAAAGAAGAAGTTGCTGGAAATTTTCTTTAATTTCAATTGTTCAATAGATTAATGCTTGTAACTGCCAATTTAAATTGCCAATTGGAAATGTAATTAATTATATTTGCTGAACTCACAGTCAATCATTCCTTACTATCACATTCATTCATTCATTCATTCGTTTGATCAATTAATTTAATTCAATCAATCTTCATTTATCATTTAATTTCAGTTGATTTAGTGCTAAGTAAGCTTGCATGCACTCGTTTAATTTCTCATTTCTGTTGTTTCAATTCATTCTGTTTTCTTATTTATTATAATAAAAACTCACATCTGTGCTTTTGATGATTTATCATCATCCTCGTATTTGTGTATATTTACTGCCTACTTTTGCTGTGTACTCGCAATTGCAAGGTATCATTAGAAAGTTACAATTATCGGGGGAAATTTGGCAGGAATACTTTGGATTGGGTTTGTTAATTAGAAGCATACCTAGTATAGATGCTTGGTTAAATTTTTTGTTGTTTACATTATGATTTTTGGGGCGTTGATTTTATAGAAAGCAAAACAACGTCACGAACAACCTGTTAGACCTATCAGAGTTTGATACACTGAGTAATAGCAATAAGGACCACCCGATACTGGAGATGTCGACAAATTTATCCAACGAGGATTCCCTCAACTCAAATTTAAATCCAGGGGCAATGCCCTTTACTCCCATGGTCGTCAACCCCTTTGTGCCTGCAGCGACAAATGCCAATACAAATCCGTTCCAGGATAATTTCACCAACATCAAGACACAAGATAATAATCAATTACCAGGTAATCAGCATGGAACAATTTTATGACAGTAAGAAGCGGTGAAACGGCTCAAGGATATCCAAGTACTTTGGCTCTTCTTTATTCTAGTCAAATGATTTACTAGTTGAGTTGATTTGTAGCTGAAAATCAGTGCTTTCGGTTGAGCTCCCTTTGACCGACCCCAAGTTTTCAGACATTTTTCAATGGTTTTATTATTTAACGTCTAAATTTAAATCTTTATGATTGATAAACAATTTATAAACAATCGGTTTTCCACAATAAGCTGAGTTTTCAAGGAATTACACCGAATCTAATGAAGAGACAATGAGTGCTACAAAAAAGATCATGGCGAAAATTTTTCAATCTCGCTCATATTCTGTGAATATTCATTGAAAATTGACCAATAGTCAAAATCGACTTGAACCTTTTTACCGCTTCGTTACTGAAGTCATTGAATTCAGTGGTAAAAGGGTAATTTAATCGGTAAAGATTGAATTTAGGAGAAAATGTTGAATGAGATGAGTGAATTCAACTTCAACATCAACTTTTGATAATTGTCCCTAAATTTGAAAGTGATAACCCAATATTTCGTGAATACCTTAAGAATTTTCTCAGCCCAAAAAAAAGTAAATGCCATTTTTTTTTATAAACTACTCGTTATTATGATAATTTTCATACTAAAGTTGCTGAATAAGAGGGAGTGAGCTCAACTTCATGAGGATTTCCTACAGAATATCTATGAATCTAATAAAAATAAGAAAATTTCTGCTAAAACCTTTTTTGTAGTGAATTTTCGCAGTTACAAAAATGGTTTTATGACATTTTTTTCCACACACCCACTTGTCATGAAGATAATTCCACATTTTTATAGTGAAATTCTCAACCGAAATAAGTGAAAACATTTTTCAAACGACCTATTCAATTATTTTGATAGAGAAATTGTTAACCAAGACGATAGAAATCTCTTTCCAATTGAAATGGTTGGTAGATGGACATCTCCTCAGATTTCGAGATTTTCCCACTGAATTCCTCACCGCAATCTATCCAATTCCTCCATCAATTTAATTTATTATGATTTATAATTTCCACTCTGTTACAGATCTTCTATCATAAAAGTTATAATGAAAAAAAAAATACTTTGATGATGAAGAATGAAGAGAGATAAAACCACTGGAATAATTACCAGTTTGCCCCTGGCAAGCGTTTAGGTACCCCAATGACGTTATAATGGTGAAAATGATGATTGAGATGAGTAATTATGAGTTGGAGGAATGACACGTGTAAATAAAGAGACGGCGCTTACCCAAATAAACGTGAAAAGATAATTGGAATGACAGCAGTGTTGGATCTGCTGGGCCCCTCAACCCCATGAAGACCTTTACGTATATAGAATATATAAAAGAATGATAAATTCTCCTCACCAGGATCATTACAACAGGAATGAAGGAGAAATGTAAAATAATATATAATGTTAATTTGAATCGATTATACCTATACAGTGGCAAACATAGACGTCAGATTATGCTCGTCATAGTAATTAAATGCTTACAGACACTAAACTAACTTTTTAGAGAGAAAAAAGAAAACATTTATGGGATAATGCCTATTTATAACATATTTGATTGGAAAAAAATGAAAAAAGCTATATAGCTATAAAGCTGTGTGATATATATATATATATATATATATATATATATATATATATATATATATATATATATATA